TTAAAACATTCTACTTTAATGGATTTAACATTAATGAGTACATCACTTTATACTGGTTTGATCATACTCAGGAGCTTACTATTATTACTATCCTAATATGAAGGACTTAAGGATATGAAAAGAAGCTAACACTTAGTCATAATCTTTGAGATTAGCAAGGATTAAAAAAACGGTAATACAGTTTTGGTGAGGATGCAGGGAAAACAATACAATTGTATGTTGTTGGAGAATATAAATAGGTGCAAAGCTATTGAGGCTACTGTCAAACCTCAGTGAATATCAAAATATTACATATTCATGCTCTTGGGCCCAACTTTTCCTCTAGGCATTTATTTATCTTTCATAAATATCTGCAGTTATTCTGAAATGTAAATAAATATATTCACAGATATGTATGTGAAACTGTAGAAATAGTGCCTGACATTTCACATACTAAAATATTCTAAGTGACTAAAAGTAAAAATGTACATCAGACTACTGATAAAGTACTAAGGTAGCAAAACAACTATAATCTAAAGACATGCGAAAAACACTAAGTCTGTCCTGCTGAGACTCTCTAGAGCACAGGACTCACAGCAATCTTAAACAGAATAACCCTCTCTAACAAGAAGACAACACAATGCCCTGCAACTACAAGTCTTTTCAAATGGAGAATAGGAAAAAAAAATATATGGCACAATACACATAGAAAGCTAGCTGACTTTGAAATATCTCTGGCTGAAACAGAAATAAGATCCTGAGAGAACTTCCCTTCCTGTTGTGTTTGTGATGTTTATAATCTGAGAAGAACAGGAAAAAAAAATGTAAAGAAAATTAAGGAAGCATTTATAAAAAAACAGTGACAAGCAAGAAGAATGAAAAACATATGAACAGTTTATTTTAGTTCATAAAACAGGTTATGTACCTTTCTAGCATCACAATCTCAATTTATGAGCAAACTGCAGATTTTCTTAACTGCTCTTCAAAATGAAGTATCTCCAGTTGGGCACAGTGCACAACCCTTTAATCCCAGCACTGGGTGGAATAAGCAGGTGGATCGCTGTGAGTTCAAGACCAACCTGGCCACACAACAAGTTCTAGGAGAGACAGGGGCTACATAGAGAGACCCTGTTTCCAAAAAAAAAAAAAAAAAAAAACCCAAATAACAAAATATCTCTTGTACAATTTCTTCAAATCAAATGAAAGTTACTTGGAATGCCAAACATAAAAGTTTATTTTATTAAATGTTTATTGAAAAAAAACTCTTTTCCTTTAGCCTTGCTGAAATTAGTAAAAGCTACAAGTACTTAAAGAAAGAAAATCCCTATTTCTGAACAAGCAATAAGGAGAGAAAACTATGAGGTTCCTTCCCCCAGAACTCATCATCTACACTGCCAATATTAATGAGTGAGGGTTCACTGTTTTCTCTTGGGCCCCTCTTTAGAAGTGGTCAAGCATGTTTAACCCTTTAACTGTAACCACTGTCCTAAGGACTCTAGCTTACAGACTTCTCTTCTGTACCAATTCCTAAGAGGTGCTCTCATCGCATAGGCTTACCTAAGCATGCTAACTAGATATCCCTCACAATAGTAAGTTCTTGAATCAATTTAAAAAAAAAAAAGTTCAGAATTTGAGGTTTCAAACCATGACTGACTGGCCTAACTGCTTTGAGTCTGTAGTGTTACATCACAGTCCTTATAAATACAATAAACAATAAACACAATAAAGCAAACTGTTCATACCTCAGTCAGGGAGGGACAGCAAAAAGAGGGAAGCAAATGAGACAGATGAGAAGAGGGAGGGAGAGTAAGAGTGTACTGCCCAATGAAATCTCACCATTAAGTTCCATAACCTTTCAAGCACAACAAAGTTGTACATTAAACCTTTAACACATAAACAGTATTCAAGATCAAAACTACCAGCACAATTTTACAATCATTTAAGAAAGAAATATAAAGAGTCACAATGCTGTGCATTGGTATGACCAAAAACCAAGGTAAAAGAGGAAAAAGAATATAAATTATTTTAAAAACAAACAAACAAAAAAAAAAAACAAATTATTTTAACAACAACAAAAAAATGAAACTTGGAAAGGGCTTTAAAAAAAATTAGCCAGACAAAATGTTACATACATGAATCCCAACACTTGTGAAGGAATAGGCAGTGGATCACTGAAAATTTGTAGGCCAGTTTGGTCTACATACCAAGTTCTATGAGTACTAGGGCTATACAGTGAGACCCTGCTTGTGCGTCACCAAAATAAACAAATAAATAAATAAATAAATAAATAAATAAATAATGGATAAATAAATAAATAAATAAATAAATAAATAAATAGAGCAAGGATGAAAATGCAATTATAAAGAAAAACAAGTAAGCAATAAACACCCTAAATTCTTCTTCCTGTTATTATTTTGGCTGATTGGATTTCTTTGAGTAGCCCTGGCTGCCCTATGAACTCACTATATGTAAACTAGGCTGGCCGTTAATTCACAGATATCTGCCTGACCCTGCCTCTCTGAGTGCTGAGATTAAAAGCATGCACCACCACAGCCAGGAATGGTTTTTCTTCTGAGTGGGTCTTCTGCAGGCCAGTTGACCGGAAACTTTATAGCCAAGGATGACTTCAGGTTCTTGATCATCCTCCATTTACCTAACAGGTATTTGGGAATAATATAGGCGTGTGTCACTCATTGTACCCAGCTTTCTGTTATAAAGAGTGTTTTATTCATTTATTTATTTATTTATTTATTTATTTATTTATTTATTTATTTATTTGGCAGTGTACATGCAACAGAGCCCTTGTAGAGGTCAGATAACAGCTTGCTAGAGTCAGTTCTCTCTATCCATCACATAGATTACAAACTCTTGCCTTCACGTTTGGTGACAACTGTCTTTCACCTACTGGGACATACTACTTCTCCTCCAATATTAATTTTCATAATGAAAAGTTTTAACAAGTGAGCTTTCATATAAAAATTTCAGAAGTATGTGGAATTTTTATGATACTTGGACATTATTATTACTACATATATTTGTATGTACACAAATACACAATGGTCAGAGAACAACGTGAGCAAGTCAGTCCTCTTCTACTAGTGAGTTCTAGCAGTCTATGCAGGTTAACAAGGCTCCATGGCAAACATATTTTACTCACTGAGCCACCTCACTGTCTGCACAGATCTGTTTTTTTTTCTTAATTTTTATTATTAGCTACATTTTATTAACTGTATCCCAGCTGGATCCCCTCCTTCATTCCCTCCCAATCCTACCCTCCTTCCCGTATCTCCTCCCTGACCCTTTCCAAGTCCACTGATAGGACTCCTCCCTTTCATCTGACCCTGTTTTATCAGGTATCTTCAGGACTGGCTGCAAAGTCCTCCTCTGTGGCCTAGCATGGCTGTTCCTCTCTTGGGGGGTGGGGAGGTCAAAGAACCTACCATTGAGTTCATGTCAGAAATAGTCCCTGTTCCCCTAACTAGGGTAACCCACTTGGTTACTGAGCTACCACGGGCTACATCCAAGCAGAGGTTCTAGGTTATATCCATACATGGTCCTTGGTTGGATAAACAGTCTCATATAAGACTCCTGTGCCCAGATATATTTGGTCCTTGTGGAGCTCCTACCCTCTCCACATCATACTAACTCCCCCTTCTTTCATATGATGCCCTGAACTCTGCTGAAGGTTTGGTTATCCGTCTTGGTATCTGCTTTGATACACTGCTAGGTAGTCTTTCAGAGGCCCTCTGCGGTAGGCTCCTGTCCTGTTACTTGTTTTCTCCCACAGATCTGTTTTTAATAGCATTGAATAAGGAGAAAAATTTCAATGAGACAATTTCTTACTTTTTTTTGCAAAATTTAAACTGCTAAAACATAAATGAAACAAAGAGTAAAAGATAGCAAGTAGCCTTCCTGGCCTGTAAACAATCAGACTATCCTAATCTCATTAACATGTCTGACAGCATCATCCTGAATCACCAATATAGACTATACTACTCACATATGCACAAAAGAATAAAAATATAATAAAAATTTGTAAACTTTATCAAACATTCTTTGCCACTAGAAAAAAAATTATGTGTAAGAGGTTTATTGTTAAGATTTATCTGTTCAATTGTGTGTATGTGCTTGTGTGTGGATAAAGGTATACAGATCACCTGGACCCGGAGTTTCAGCACAGGGCAGCTATGAGCACACTCATGTGGGTACTGGAAGCTGGGTCCTCTGAAGAGCAGCGCTTACTAGTACCCACTGCATCATCTCTCAAGCCCCAAGGGTTTGTTAGGAAAGTAGCTTAAAACTACATTAGAGAAGCTAAGGCTCTGCAACACTATCAAAACATGACACAGACATTAAGGCCTAAGGTTACTTCTAGTTCACACAAAAACAATCCTGAGTCCTTAAGACATACAAAGACTATGGAAGGTAGTTGCCACATAGGAATTAAGAAGGTGAAAAAAATGAAATAAAAGGCACACAAATTTGAAAGGAAAAAGTTAGGCAGATGCTAGAACACATACAGCTATAATCTCCGCTCTTGGGAGTCTGAAGCAGTAAGATAACATTCCAGTCTAGCCTGAGCTATACAATAATACTCCAAAAAACAAAACAGTTTTAAGTTTTGTATTGGCTTTTTACACCATGCTGGCGTCCCTATGAGAACCTTCCTAAGTCCACAGATCTCTTGAATTACTGTATACCACGTCTGGCTATCAGTTTCTTAAAAGTATTTTTTACATGTATTTATCTGTGGTGGCATGCATGCTGTGGTACAAGTGTGCAGGAGCAGAAAATCTGCTCCAGAACAGGTTCTCCTCTCTCAACACATAGATCGTAGGGACTGAGCTCAGACTATCAGGTTCAGCAGCAAGCGTCTTTACCCTCTGAGCCATCTTTGCCAACCATGGCTATCAATGTTAAGGTATTAATAGCAAATCACTAATCAATAGTTGAAGGCTGTTTTACTGGCTTCTTTAAAATTTTTTTTCTTTAATTAAAAAGTAATTTTTCTTAACACTTACCTAAACTTGTGGGCTTGATGAGAACATCAAGGACGTCATAGAAGGGCAAGTTCTTTAACTGCACGTCAGGATGGACAGGAGGAATGGGAGGAGATGGTTGCTGCATCTCAAATGTGGGTTTAGTGTCTTGAAGCAGCACAGAACCAACAGGAGATGACGGTGAATGAGGTGTGATTGAAGTAGAAGGCAACGAGTGGATTCCAGCCACAGCCAAATCAGGTTCTACTGGTGATGAACTACCATCCAAACTGAAAACCGATGATTTGATTGTGGATAGATCAGAAAGTCCTTCAAGTGTCCGTGGGTATCGGCGTCTATATAATTCTCGAATTTTAATCTGAACCGCAGGGCTGCAGCCACTCTTCAATAGATGCAACGCCCTCATCAGGAGGTCATGCTTGCGCCCACTTTTATTCCGTCCAGCAAAGCCCAGTAACACTTGTAATTCAGAAACCCTAAAACTAGAAACCATATTCTAAAAGGGGGAAGAAAAAAAAGACAAGTCTTCGTCAAGCATATTAAAAAAAGCCTACTTAAAATATACTGTAAAATTGGACTTTTTCCTGAAAGTAAGCAATATTTACATAGACCACACCATGTAGAACATAATATTCAGAAAACTGTCATCTCTTGAAACTTCCATTTGAGTTATGATGTTAAATATTTTTTTTCCTTTTCATTTTGGAAATCTAGTCTTGGTTCTTATTATGTTCTAATATAAATCCCTATTTGCTTCTTCACTATGAATTCTTTAACTAATAAAACTTTTCTTTTTTCAAAACTATGACCTACTAATACAAAACACAGCAATTGTTACAAAATTGTCACTAATGAAACAAATGAGCTGAATTTTTATGTCACATTAGTGTAACTTCTAGTGCTGCTTAGTAAATCTAGAAAATCCAGCTTTAACTAGTATCCAAAGCCAACGCATTTTTTAACCCCAACTCAAACATTAAACAGACAAAATAATTTTCAAAAAGGCTTAAAAATATTAAGACTAAACATCACATATATCCTATTTAACTGCCAAATTTCAAAAATGATTAAAAACTTCAGCTTAGTTTTCAAATGAGAACAAGACCTCTACAAGTAAGAAGCAGAGAACTCACAATTCTTAAAAATTAAGACCACCCTCATAGGACTCTTACTGATTTGTGCTTGAGTGTTAAACAAGCATAAGAAGCAACTCCTGCTCTACATATCTCATCTATTTAGTCCGTAAGATCTAGTCAGTACTGTAAACCCCTTGTCGCCTTTTAGGTCGAGCTGCTGAGTGATTTTCAGTAAATTCTGAACACAAAAGGTAAACCACATAGGTGAGATTTACCTATGCCACACCATGAATCATCTGCCAAAAGAAAGAAGAAATGTGGAGCCACCCCTCCAGAACCTACTCTCAGGAGAGCCGCCTCTCACTGGAAGTTGGGGTTTCCCTACTATCTCATCAGTTAGGCACAAAGCAGCCAGGATTCCTTTCTTGTGAAACTGAAGGTTTTATTCCCAGGAGAAAAGACAGGGAGTATGGAGACAGACTGTATACAAAATAAAAAGATAGAGATATGGGCTTAGAAATAAGAATGAAGAATCACAGGATTCTGAATTGTACAAGATAGTCTTTACACTGAAAATCGTGCAAAGATAATGGTGGAAAGGTCAAGGAGAGCCAGTAAAAAACTTGGGACCCAAAATTCATATACCGATGAGCTGCCAAGCCCTGTCCCTGTTACCAAGACTTAGTACCTTGGGTTCTCTTTCTCTTTTATTTATTTACTGTTTTGTTTTAATTTACTATGTATACAGTATTCTGCCTGCATACCAGAAGAGGGCACCTGATCTCATTATAGATGGTTATGAGCCACCATGACGGGGAAATGAACTCAGAATCTCTGGAAGAGCACCAAGTGCTCCTAACCCCTGGACCCTCCAGTCCATGTACCCTGCGTTCTTAGAGACGGCTCAGTACTTAAGTCACTAAAGTCTGGCTTTCAGTATGTCTTTAGCCTCTAACTTCTCTAGAGAGGAAGGTCTATACAGAAAAAACAAAACAAAACAAAACAAAACAAAAAAACACACTGGTATGACTTTTTTTTTTTTTTAAGGATGCACAGAGCAAGGAGTATCTCAATAGCAAGACCTAATTTCAATCACTAATAGCTTAAAAAAAAAATGTAGAGGCAAGTGGATCTCTGTGATTTCAAGGTCAGCCTGGTCTACATAGTGAAGTGAGTTCTAGGGCTAAATAGAGATACCCTGTCTCAAACAAACAAACCACAACAACAAAACTCACAATGAATTATAAAGTTAAAACTAGGGATATAACCCAAGCTTATTTATCAAACTGAGTTAAACACAAATTATTAAAAAAAAAAAAAAAACAAAAAAAAAAAAAAAAAAAACCTTTAAAGCTATGGTGTATATATATGAAGGCAACGTAGACCCACTACATTAGAAAAATATCTCATTAAGTAGGAAAATATTCTAGTTACATGTACTCACCAAATCAATGTTTTTTAGAAACTGCTTTTCAACTCTTAATTAAGAATGTGATGGAAACGTCGACAACAACAACAAAGTCTAAAATTTAGGTAAATTGTAGTTGGTGAGAAATTAATACAAGTTTTACTGATTCCCACCCCCATCTGCCATAATGTATAACAGGTCCTGTTAGGCTATTTTCCTAACTGCCAGGAAAACTTGATAAACTGTATTATTTAATGCTACCTATTTTAGTTACTAGCATGAAAGTAACCTACATCTATATTTATAAATAGGAAAGAAGACAAATTTAACTAAATTAACATAGCGAAAAAAAAAAAAAAACTTCCTAAGATAGTCTGCATGGCAAATCATAAAGATCTAATTCCTAACCACTGTCTGTTAGAGAGGTCATGGAAAGTCCCAATCCTTATAAAATCATTCCCTATAATTAAGCCTACTTTTACTTGAGGGATTTTAAGTAGCTCTCTTGCTTACAATAAAATATTTTAACTCATCTCAGGCCAACAAAAACCGTAATTAAATGTCATCTATTAAAAGAAGTAATAAAGAATATACTATAGGGGCTGGAAAGATGGCTCAATGGTTATGAGTCCATTCTGCTCTTGCAGAAAACTCAGGTTTGGTTCCCAACAGCCACAGGGTAGCTCATAAGCACTTGTAACTCCAGTTCCAGGGGATTTGAGACCTTCTAGCCTCCACAGACACATGGTACATAGAGAAACATTCAAACAAAACACTCATAAAGTAAAAATGAATCCTTAAAAAACATACTGGATTTCAAAATCTATATAACTCACAGCTTTGCACATCTCTCTAAATGTTTATCCATAATTATAGAAAAAAGTTCAAGAATCAAACAGAATCAAAAGCAATCATAAAGGGTGAAGAATTAAAGGATAAAGCAAAACAAAATCAATCAAACAAAAAAAAACACAAAACATTAACTAATAAAAAATAAAGTCAAACCCTAAAACAGAAAAGGAAACAAATGCACAGTATTAAGAAGAATAAAAAGGCTAGACATGATGGCACACATCTTTAATCCCAGTACTCCAGACACAGAGGCTGGAGGATCTCTGTGAGTTCAAGGCCATTCTGGTCTACTTAGATAGTTCTAGGACAGCCAGAAATACAGAGAGACCCTACCTCAAAAAAAAAAAAAAAAGGAATAATTACAGTAATAATAATAATAATAAGCCAGGCGAGATGGCATACAGCTGTAATCCCAGCACTCAGGGAGGTAGAGGCAGGCAAATCTGAGTTCAAGGCTAGCCTGGTCTACAAGGTGAGAACAGGACAACCAAGGATACACAGAGAAATCCTGTCACAAATAAAACAATGAACAAAGGAACGAATGAAAGATGAAAGAAAGAAAATTATACAAGATGAACTTAACATTATTTTGCAATATTTTACCATACTAAAAAAACAAAAACAAAAAAAACAAAGAAATTATACAAAACTACTGAGGTCTTATGAAGGACACAGAAAACATTCTAGTCTCAACCTAGAAACTCTACTCTCAGTCTAATCTGAGACATGAATTCAAACATTAAATATATTATGAAATTTGCTCATTATGACACTTAGGAAACTCACTAATTTCCTTTAGAGGACACGAGTAACCAAACTCTTATTCAAGTTTATTAAAAAGCAAACCATTTTTTAAAAAAGATTTACTGGTTTAAGAGGGAAAACCACATGACTTAGATAAATGAGAGAAAAGCATCTGATAAAATTTTACTAATTCAACTTAAAACCACTTAATTGGGTATAAAAACCTTGTCAACATGATAAATGACAACAGAAATCAATAGCAAGTGTACTATTAAAGATGAAACACTAGATCATAAACCTAAGGCCCATAAAATGTATACTGTTTTGTTATTAAACATTATTCAAAAGATTCTAGATAACAACCAAGCAATAAAAAGTCTTTGAAGTAGGAGCTGGAGATGTAGTTCCATTGGCAGAATGTTTGCTTAGCATGCATGATGCCCAAGGCCCCAGCACTACATAAACTGGGCATGGTAGCACACCTGTAATCTTAGCAATAGGTAAACTAAGCTAATGGAAACATTTTCAAATGGCTAAGAAAAAAATAATATTTAGGGGGGAACCTAAATAACACAAACTCAAAATACAAAAGATTAAATTTCAAAACTTTTCCAAACACTAAAACACAACTGACAGTGGGGAGTGGTAGCCCATACCTTTAATCCTAGCAGTCAGGAAGGCACAGACAAGTGATTCTCTGAGTTCAAGACCAACCTAGTCTACATATAGAATTCAGGCAATCCAGTGCTACAAAGTAATACAATAACCCCCAACACAACAAAAAAACACACACAAAATGTAAAGGAAACACTAAATAAGTTAGACTAAAAAACACATTATCAGATTAAAAGTAAAATTCAGTATTAAAAGTAAGTTAATTCTTCCCATATTAAGTTACAAAGAGGACAAAGTTCTAAGTTTCAAACGAATGACTCATGAGTAACTGGAAAATTTACTAGATCCAAACTGGGATAAAGAATTAAACAAAATATTTATAAGTACTGATGAATAAAACAAAGACAGGAAAAGGAAACAACAAAGAAAGAAGGTTTGTAGTTTTAAAGGGGGGATGATTTACTGAAAAGGTAAGTGTAAATAAGGAGGAAAAAAAAAACATACTATATGGCTATATAAGAAAACACATTCCAGAGGTAAAGCACAGCAGGAAAAAAATTTTTTAGCACATCAGAAAGGTTATCACCACTGTTGAACTAAAACAGGGTAGAAGAATGAGTATTACAATAGCTGGATGATTAGGTTGCTAATAAATTCCACTGGTAGCGTAATAAGCAAAGAAAATAACAAACCTGAGGATGATAATATTTATTTATATATAAGTAAGTACTGTAAAGAAGAAAATCAAATGTGAGGTTAAGAAAAGACAGCTGAGAAAGTAATAATAAGCATATAAACAAGCAGGGTGGTGAGCAGTTTGAAATGTTCTATAAGTGAGAAAGCAGAAGTAATTTTAGAATAACACATCAAAATTTCAAGAGATGTTGAGAGAATATGAAAAGGCAAAAATGTATGTAAATATACAACATAAAGTTACAATATAAAGTGAGAAAAAAACACCCTGCCCTCTTCTGGCATGTAGGCGCACATGTAGTCAGAACACTAGGGAGGGAGGTAGGAAGGAAGGAAGGGAGGGAGGGAGGGAGGGGAGGGAGGGAGGGAGGGAGGGAGGGAGGGAGGGAGGGAGGGATACATATACACACACACATAAATAAATAAAAAAAAAACTGTTCTCCACCATCTCTGTTCAGTTAATAAAGAAGCTGATCTGCCTACAGCTGGGCAGAGAGGACAGGAGGCTGGACTTCCATTCCAGTCAGGGGGTTTCAGGTAGGGATCAAGAGAAGAGGTAGAACGAAGTAGAAGGAAGAGTTTGCCATGAGGACAGAGTTACAACAGAAGGCCTGGGAGAGACCAGATGGCAGATAAAAGGGCACCTGGCTGGGTAATAGCCAAACATAATTGGGTTGGAATAGTGGAATATCTGCCCAATTACAATGCTTAAAGTTTGCTGAATAAGTCTAATAGGTCTCTGTGTCAATTATTTGGGAGTTAGGGCAAGTATTAGAAAAGGCCCCTACTAAAACCGTACTTCAAAGACCCTGAACTAAAATGCTTCCTTTTGTAAACCACCCTGGTCATGTTTTCTCACAGCTAAAGAACAGTAACTAAGACAAGTGACTATATTCATTACTTACTCAATATGTGTTAAAAGTTCTACTGGTAGAATAATACAAGAAAATTAAAGGTTAAATGAATAGGTTATAATGAAAAGCTAAAATCACTTATCTATAAACAATGGACGATTAGGAACAAAAAAAAAAAAAAAACAATACCATCCCACACCCTCATCACTCTTAAAAAACTAAAATTATGGGGCTGGAGAGATGGCTCGGTGGTTCAGAGCACTGGCTGCTCTTCCAGAGGTCCCGAGTTCAATCCCCAGCACCCACATTTGGCTGACAATCACCTATAATGGGATCTGACGCTCTCTCCTGTCATGAAAGCATATATGCAAATAAAGTGCTCATGTATGAATAAATTTGTATTAAAAAAACTAAAATTATATGTAAAAATATAACAGGCATACTGAACTTATATGTTAAAAGCCACAAAAACTGGGGCTGGAGAGGTAGAACCTGGGTTCAATTCCTAGCACCCACATGGAAGCTATCAACTGTAACTGCTGTTCCTGAGGATCTGACACCCTCACACAGATACATGCACATAAAAATAATTATTTTTTAAAAAGGCTACAAAAACTGGATAAAGAATTCCAAGATCTAAACAATTACATTCTTCATGGATTTTTCTCCCCTACCTTTCCATACACTACAATATAGATGTTTAACACACTTAACTATCCAAACTCTGCAGGACATTATGTAGACAAACATTGATATTATTCTAAACTGTATATAGAAAAACAAAAGAAATAGAAACACTGGCCTTTTTTATTATTTAAATAACAGAAGGCTGGGGATAGCTCAGTGGTTGCATAGCATGTGCAATCAATTCTCTGCACCAAACCACAAACAAATGGAGAGGAACTCAATCTATGCCAGCTTCAAAACATAGCTTCAGTAATCAAGATTCAAGATGGTGCTGTTAGGTGAAAGACAGGCAAGTGGTTCAATGGAACAGTACAGAAAAACCCAGAAATAGAAACAGACCTGCACAAATGTGACCAATAATATTTGACAAAGGTGTAAACATGTAATAAATTGTGCTAAAGCAACTGGACATCCATAGCTTCAAATAGATAGCGTCTATACTTGTTGCAATGGAATCAGATTATTTTTTCTTAAAAGGCATGAAGTACCTACCTACCACAAGAGCAGCAAGGCCAGAGATCAAAATTTTGTAAGAGTGTTCAAAGTTACATCTTTTGATTCCTTCTTTTCCCCAGATGCTCACTAATGGAGACTGGAGAATGAAGTTGAGAAGTCAGGCAGCCAGGTATGGGCACAGACTTAATGCCAACACTGAGGAGGCAGGAGGATAAGTGAGTTTGAGGCCTCTTCGTCTATACAGCAAGGCCTTGGCTCTAAAAAAAAAAATAAGTGGGAGGAGGGGTCAGGCATGGAGCTGCAGCTTCCAGTCACCCACTCAACTATGAAGGAGAACAGTGAGGACAGAGTTGCTAAGTTATAATACTCAGTGAGTTAGGTTTATTACATGCATTCAGTATAAACATAGCATAGATTTTTGGGAGGAGAGGGGAGGGTCAACACAGGGTTTCTTTGTGTAGCCCTAGCTATCCTGGACTTACTTTGTAGACCAGGCGGGCCTCGAATTCAGAGATCCACCTGCCTCTGCCTCTCAAGTGCTGAGATTAAAGGCATGCTTCACCAAACCTGGCATTAGCATAGATTTTTTTTAAGTTCTTTAATAAGATTTTTAAATTATTTTTAATTATGTGTATTTATTTATGAGGGAGGCATACAAATGTGATTGCAGATGCCCACAAAGTCCTGCAGCTGAAGTTACAAGTGATCTGCCTCCCAGGAGTTCTAAGACCCCAAATCTGGGCCCCCTCAAAGGCAGTGAACCTTTTTTTTCCCGGAGACAGAGTTTCTCTATATAGCCTTGGCTGTCCTGGACTAACTCTGTAGACCAGGCTGGCCTCAAAAAAACAGCGATTCAACTGCCTCTGCCTCCTAGAGTTCTGGGATTACAGGTGTGCACCATCGCACCCGGCTGCAGCGCACTCTTAAATACTGAGCCATTTCTCCAGTCAAGATTTTTCTTTTGTTCATAAATACCCTCTGATCATTTTCTTCCCTTATAAATAAATCCTTCAATGTTCTTCCCCAACCCCCTAACCTCCCAACTTGATGTTTTTTTTCTATTTAAAAAAATTCCATTTCATGTTGGTCAACTACTGCTGGCGCGTGGTTGGTATACTCGACAACACTCCACTGGAGAAACTGATTTTTCCTCTCCAATTCTATTTTGGTTTTTTGTTTCTTTGTTTGCTTGCTTTAGAGACAGGTCTGTGTAGCCCTGGCTGTCCTAGAATTCCCTCTGTAGATCAGGCCTGCCTCAGCCTCCCATGTGCTGGGACTAAATGTGTGTGCCACCACCACCCAGCTCCCTCCCCAATTCTCAAGTGTTTGTTTCAAATGCAACATATCTAGTAACAGGATGGCTTAAACCTCTATGACTTTCTCTATCAAAGTAACTGAGTGTTTGAGACCTCACAGTAGAATCAATAAGTCTATACATAAAGGATATGTATGAGTATTATAAACAAAACTTTCACGTCACCTACAACTTCTGAAAAAATTATCCTTAGATTAGTCATAATGCCTAATACAGCATAAATGCTATATGAACAGGGTCATGCTGCATTGTTCAAACAAGCAAACAAATATCAGTACAGCACTAGAGAGATGACTCAGCAGTTGGGAACACTGTTTGCTCTTCCAGAAACCCCAGTTTGATTCCTAGCACCCATATAATGGCTCACAACCATCTGTAACTCTAGTTCTAGGGGATTTAACTCTTCTGACCTTAAGAACCAGACACCCAAATGGTAAGCAGACAAAGCACCAATACACATAAAATACATACATTTTTAAAGATTTATGTATTTATTTAATGTAGATTAGTGCTCTATATGCATGTACACCTGCATGCCAGAAGAGGGCATCAGATCCCAGTATAGATGGTTGTAAGCCATCATGTGGTGGCTGAGAATTGAACTCAGGACTTCTGGAAGAGCAGACAGTGTTCTTAACCGCTGAGCCATCTCTCCAGCCCCACATAAATTAAATAAACAAATAAATAAAAGTTTGCTGCAAAGAACACATCCTGTTATGCCTTCAGTAGCCCCATTAACCGCTTCTTTGCCACAGTTATTTTTTATTATTATTATTCCATTTTCTTTTATGCTTGATTTAATCAAATTATTATTTTGTTCATGGTCTTTGGAAAAACAGGCCACTGCATATTGCATTTGTAAATACTCACCATACAGCCTAAGTACATAGTAGGCTATCCCACCTAAATTTATGTAAACATACTCTATAAAGCCAAATGTGGTAGCGCATACCTGTAAGATCAGGAGCTCAGAACAATCTTCAGCTACACAGTGCTCAAGACCAGTTTGAGCTACATGAAATTGTGCCTCAAAAAAACAAAGAAAAAAAAAAAGAAAAGGGGTCTGAAGAGATGGTTCAATGGTTAAAAACACTGCCTGCTTTTCCAGAAAACATAGGTTCAATTCCCAGAACCCATATGGTGGCTCACAACTGCCTGTAACTCCAGTTCCAGAAGCTTCAACACATCTTGTAGCCTCCATGCAGATTTCCATGGGGGTGAAACACCCATATACATAAATAAAAAGAAAAACATTAACAAAAAGAAGAGAAAAACCCAAAACACCCTATAATTCCACAAAACAGAAACTGCCTGTCAACATATTTGTCAGAATGTGATGGTGGGTAATACTGGAGTATTAATTCCATATCTGAAGGGGAAGGAAAGAAAATAAGCCAAAAGTAGTGGACCATGCCCGTAATCCCAATACTCAGGAGGTAGAAGCACGAGGACCAGGAGCTTAAGTCCAGCCTTGTCCTCACAGAGAGTTTGAGACCAACTTGTGCTACTACATGAAACCTGCATTAAACAAACAAAAGTTAAACATTGAACATTATGCATCAATTCCATTCCTAAATGTTCACTCAAGAGAACTGAAAACCTATTCCATATAAAACTTGGTGCCCATGCAGATGAATACTTGTACTAGCCAGTAAGTAAAAATAACTCAATGCCAGACAATATAATCACACAACAAAATACTGTTCTGTTAAAAATGAACAAATTACTGGTACAGGCTACAACACAGATGAAGCTGGAGAATATTATGCTAAATGAAAATACATTAGACACAAAAGGCCAGTGTTGTGTGATTCCATTTATAAGAAATGTTCATGATAGGCAAATCCATAGACAGAAAGTCAGCTGGTATATGCTAAGGCATGGGAAGAAGATAAATTATAAGGAATGACTACTATGGTGACTACTGGAAATAGGACTTCTTTTGGAAAAAGAAAAATATTCTTGAATTAAGACAGTGGTGATACTGCTATGACTGTGAAGTCTAAAGAGCACCATACCTAGCTAGGCGGTGGTGGCACAGACCTTTAATTCCAACACTTGGAAGGCAGAGGCAGGGAGATCTCTATGTTGTAAAAATGAAGATTCCTGGTAGGTGTAAAAGGATCAAACACTTGGATCTTCTAGACAGAAAATTACCTGCTATAGAATTACATAAGCATCTTAGTATCAAAAGACCTACCTCTACTTTCAACATCCACCTTCCATGCTTCCATCAAACCCAGGGCATGAAGTCTGCTAGGCAAATTCTACATAGCAATGAGCTATGTAGAAACTAGGCAAGCTAACTGATTTCAAATTATGATGCAACAAACTTTCCAAATTTTATAAATGTTCTAGTTTACCTACAGCTATTGTTATAATCACCAAGATAAACATCCAAAGTCTCATATACATATTTACTCTTTCTATATCATACACAGAAAGCAAGTTTTCAGTCCATGAAAGGTAATGGATAAAGGATGTCCTTTTAAGAAAAATAAATAGAATGTCACTACAAACAGATTCACTTTCAACTGCTATATAGAGAACAGAATGGATTAACTAGCTGAAGTACTGCAAAACTTTTTGAAGAATGAATGCCACCAGAAACCCTATATTGGAACCGTATAGCAAGCAAGAAAAGGCAAGGGCAGAAAAAGCTAGTGAATGGTTAAAAAGACTGAATTGGCTCCAGAAACCCAACTGTTCTACCTACATGACTTCACCCAGTACTTGACTCTTTTGAGAGATTAAGGGCAAAAATCCAAAGTGGCATTGACAGATGTACCATTGATCTTTGTGGTGGTTTGAGTGAGAATGCCCCCCAGAATCTCATGTTTGCATGCTTGGTCCCCAGCTGAACTGTTTGAGAATGATCAGAAGGTTTAGGAGGTGCACCTTGTTGGAGGAAGTGTGTGGCTGGAGGTGGTGGGCTTCCTTTCACAGAGGTTGCCTAAGACCATCAGAACACATATTTACATTAAGATTCACAGCATAGCAAAATTTGTTTTAAGTAGTAATGAAAAGAATTTTATGGGGTGAGGGGGGGGGTTACCACAACATGAGAAACTGTATTAAAGGATCACAGCTCTAATTACAAAGGTTAAGATCTACCGTCTTAGCTACTGCTCTAGCCTTCACCAGTGTGCTTCCCACAGTAATGATAATGGGCTAACCCCTTTCAAACTGTAAGCAAGCCCCCAATTAAATGTTTTCTTAGGAGTTGCCTTGGTCAAACCAGGTGTAGTGAGTGGTACATGCCTGTAATCCTAGCACTCTAGGTGGCAGAAGCACTTGGATCTCTTGTTTTGATGCCAGCCTGGTCTACAAAGCCAAGTCCAGGACAGCCAAGGCTACACGGAAACCCTCTTTCTGGTTACAAAAAAAAAAAAAAAAAAGGTTGTCTTGGTTATGGTGGCTCTTCACAGCAATAGAAAGAACTAAAACAATCTTGTGCCAAGTTAATTCACATCTAGCTAGTTGGTTCAAAAAATAGTTAGTCATCCCTTCAATTATAACAAAGAAAGATAAGTGAGCATCTAGGAAACCAAGTATAATTCCCCTGGCACATGAAGGCTTCTTATACATACACCACACTATTATAATCATCTTTTTAGACTACACAGGTCACCTTCTTCCTTCTCAAAGAATTTCCTCCTGTCCCTACCAATTAGAATGCATTCCTAAATCAAGTCTGTACCATAATTGCAATTCCCCGGTTCTAGGCCAGTAGACACTGACAAATGCTCTAAACTCATCATATTCTCTCAGAAGGATGCATCAAAGCTAGACTGGTAATCTACTAGTCACGTAGGCGTGAAAGGCAAAACAGAGCTCCCATAGTCTAGAGCCACACAGTAGTCTTGAAAAACATCTTGTCAGGCAACCCCTCAAGGTTCTACAGCTGCCTTACAGATGACACCTCCCCTCCTCAACCCTTTGTCTAAAGTAAAAGGACAGGAAGAACTAAATCACACTGGGGAGGGGATGGTCTTTCCCCAAAAGATCCTTCCAGTACAGACACAGCACCAACCACATGCTGACTGCTGACGCTATACTATCTTCAGCAGTTTAAACTATGGTATCCAAACCAGTTTACCATTTTTTTCTACTGCCAGGTATAACTAAAAACCCAATGCCTGTAATCTTCCCTGGTCCTATAATTTAACTGTCATCATCAGAATGTAATCTGGACCAGAAAACATCACTGCAGGAGTCCCCTTCTCTTTCTGATTATTGTTTGGGGTTTTGTTTGTTTGTTTTTGTTTTTTTGTTTTTGCTTTGGTTTTGTTTGGGGGGGGTATTTACTTTTTGTCCACTCTCCTGTTTTTCTTCCATTTTATGATACAAAGGTGTGGTATTTATCATTTAAATTTTTTCCATAAATTTCAGATTAGGAGTTCCACCTAGCCCAAAGAACAATGAACTCTAACATGGACTCTGAAAAACTCAAGAAGACTCTCAAGTCAGGTAAGATGTTTAAAACTTCAGCATGTCCACTTACAAACTGTGATCTAGGTGAAAATTTGATCCACATTTCATTTTCTTCACAGACTTGCAAGAATAACGATGTACATACGAAATATCTGAACCAGAATTTGGCATTAGAATGAGTATGCCACCACCATCATCATCACTTTTTGCACTGGAGAAGTGGGATAAACATAAGCTAGCATGAGTCTGCCCTAAAAAGCTATGGGAAAACATTGTGGGTAACTCTTCCAGCATCCAATCAGCCTGCAACCTTCCTTCCTTTCCTCTGGAAACTGAGGTCTGGTCTCTGCTGGTCACTATGAATGGGGGAAGCCAAGGACATTATCTTTGACCAAGCACAAGGAGATGCAAAAGCAAGCTGATTTAGGGGATGAGAAGATGAAGCTTATCCACAAAACAAAACAAAAACAAAGGAAAAAGCGACAATTTGTTTTCCACTGCTTTCAAGGTGCTGGTTCCACTTCGATCTGAGTACTGATTTCCTTTTCTACTCTGTATGATTCATTCTTCACTTTAACCAGTAATAGTTCTGAAAGTGTGATACAAGCCCCAGAGAGGTTTCCACCAAACAAACTAAAATAATAACAACAGCAAACTCCTACCTTCCCTGGGAGAGGAAAAATACATGCCACTGTTCAGAAGTTAAGGTAATACTGCAGGTAAAAATAACTGCAGTGTTCAGTTTACTGTAGCGAGGCTCAGGCTTGCTTGTTTCAGGAGCGCCTTATGGTTCAAGTATCCTTTACAATCATGGTTCTCTGTATCAACTAATATGGGAAACAACGCGTATCGATGTATTTATTGGGAAAATCATTCTTGTCTGAAACAGGAGGAAAAATGGTAGGCCCTGAGCAATCTCTCACATTCACTCTGTTGTTGGTGTCCAGCCAGCCAACAACCGTTTCCCACAAACAATACTAGTCTTACAAAGCAGAATGGTTCACCAGGTTAAAGGAACTCAAACATCACTTTTGGCTACATTATCCCTACTGGCTGCAGTTCATTTAACTTCAAATCTATACGTATGTCTCTAAAACACAATTAAAGAAAAAAAAAATCAGGGTTTCTATCTGTAAACATCCCACATACAGTATTTCGGCTCTTAATCCAGCTCACTTATCACACCTGGTTTAGTTTGGGATAAGGCTCCTGTAAAGATCGTCAGTCTGGTGGAGAAAACAAATCTTTTTCCGTGTAACCTCCAACCGCCTCTATTTTAAACTCCGACTACAAAGCTAGCAACAATAAAGTTATGACCTGTTCTCATGCTAGGAAACAGTTTTTCCTCAAGAGCGCAAACCACAATACATGACAACTCAGACGCTGAGGATTTCTTACGATGGTTATAAGGCCCGCTAGGGCAGGCGGAGTTCCCCAAAGACCGCGCTGGTCCTCGCGCCGAGTGAGCAAGCACTGGTGGGAGGAAGGGGCCTCATCTCCTGACAGACCTGCCTAGCCCACAGCGGGGCCGGGAAAATTCCCAAACGCAACTCCACGTTTCCGAGGGCCGTCTTCACCCGGCGAACCGCAGGAACGCAGACTTCGGGGTCGCCGGCACCGAGGCGGACGCCGCTGCCCGTGCCCAGCCAAGTCCGCCCACCGGGCCGCCCGGGCTGGCCCGCCAGGTGCGCGGCCCGCCACGCCGGTCACCCGGCCGCCTGCGCCCGCCCTGTCCCTCCCAGATCGGCGCCCGGGGATGCGGCTCCGCCAACCGGCCGCACGCCCCGGCGGCGGCGCCGCGCTGCTCGCTGCTCCCGCCTCCCCTCCCCCCCCGCCCTGCGGCCTCCGCTCCCGCCCCCCCTCCCGCGACGCTCACCCTCAACTCAACGAAATCCGCCATTTTATCCCGCCCGCGGGCGCCTCAGCCGTCACCGCTCCTCCGCCCGCTGCCGCCAACGACACCGCCGCCGTCTCCTGCAACATCCTGCACTGGGCGCCGCTCTAGACGCCGCGGCCGCCGCCGCCGCCGCCTCCTCCGCCGCCGCGCCGCCGCGCCGCCACCAGCACCACCACCACCACCACCGGGCCTCACGTGACCTGCGCGGGAGCCCCGCCCCCCGGCGCGCGCAGGCCCCGCCCTCCGCGGCGCCCCCAGCCCACCGTGCGCGGCCTTCCGCCCGAGCGCCCCCCACGCGCTTCCGGTGGTGGCCTGTCCTCGGCCGAGCCTCGCGCGCCGTTCGCCTCACCGGAGCGCAGGGTCGCACGGAACTGCGGCGTGGTCTCCGGACTCGGCTGAGGACGTGGCCGGGAGAAAAAGAGTTGACAGGACTGGTTCGGGAGGATTCTCTCCGTGGCTGAGAACAGGAAGCAGCCTCGGTGCCATCCCCAGAGTAGCTGTGGTGGGATAATGCAAGTGTGGGTGATGTGTAAACCGTTGTTCCAAGCTTACGGTGCTCACAGAGAAGAATTTTTTGCGATTTTGTTGTTGTTGTTGTTGTTGAGACAGGGTATCGCTATGTTTTTTTTTTTCTCTTTTTCTTTTATTATTTTTATGTACATTTGGTGTTTGCATACAGATATATCTGGGTGAGAGAGTCAAATCCACTAGAACCTGAGTTACAGGCCAGACAGTTGTGAGCTGCCATGTGAGTGCTGGGAATTGAACCAGGGCCCTCTGGAAAGAGCAGCCAAATGCTCTTATTAATCACTGAGCCATCTCTTCAGCCCTTTTAATTTATGTCTTAATCTTAGCTGATTTTTTTTTTCCGGCCCTTGAGGGAATGTCAATGGCCTGGGCAACAGAGTTGAAAGAATTGTGAGGTAAGATTAGGAGAAAAGTGAAATAAGTGGGCCCTGGAGAACTCCGATGAAATTGAAAGGTCA